GTTAAGTCTTCTTGCTGAATTGAATCCTTTATCATTATATAATGCCCTTCTCTGTCCATTTTGATTATTGTGACAGTCTGTTTTGTTTGAAATAAGAACAGCAAGCTCTTCCCTTTTTTGCTTTCTGTTTGCTTAATATATTTTTATCAATCTCTTTATGTCTTGATAGATTTTTATCAATCTTTTTATTTTGAGCCTATGGGTGTCACTGCATGTGAGATGGGTACCTTGAAGACAACATACAGTTGGGTCTTGCTTCTTAATCCAACTTGCCATTCTGTGCCTTTTGAATGTTGCATTTAGCTCATTTACATTTCGGGTGAATATTCATATGTGAAGATTTGATTCTGTCATCATGTTGGTAGTTGGTTGTTATGTGGACTTGACTGTGTACTTGCTTTGTAGTAATGGTCTATGTACTTATGTGTGTTTTTATGGTAGTTGGTAACAGTTTTTTATTTCTACGTTTAGCTCTTCCTTAAGGACCTCTGTAAGGCAAGTGTGGTAGTAATGACTTCCCTCAGCATTTGCTTGTCTGAAAAGGATTTTATTTCTCCTTTGCTTATGAAGTTTAGTTTGGCTGGATATGAAATTCTTGGTTGAAATTTTTCTTTTAGGATGCTGAATATATGTCCCAATCTCTTCTAGCTTGTAGGGCTTCTACTGAAAGTTCTGCCATTAGTTTGATGGGTTCTTTTTGTAGGTGGCCTTCGCCTTCTCTCTAGCTGCCTTTAATACTTTTTTATTTTGCTTTGACCTTAGAGAATCTGAGGGCTGTGTTCTGGGGATGGTCATCTTGCACAGGATCTTGCAGGGCTTCTCTGAATTTGAATGTTGACTTCTCTAGTGAGGATGGGGAAATTTTCATAGGCAGTACCCTCAAATATGTTCTCCAACTTGCTTGGTCTCTCTCCATCTTTCTTTCTCAGGGATGTCAGTGAGTCATAGGTTTGGTCTTTTTCATAATCCTAAATTTCTTGAAGGCTTTGTTCATTCTTTTTTATTCTTTCTTTTTTAGTTTTGTCTGACTGAGTCAATGTGAAGAACCATTTTTGAGCTCTGAGATTTTTTTCCCTCAGCTTATGCTGTTCTGCTGCTGATATTTCCAACTGTATTATGAAATTATTGTAATGGTTTTTTCAGCTGTATCAGATCAGCTTGGTTCTTAAAATGATTAGTCTTTCAGTTCATGTATTGTTTTACTGGATTCTTAGGTTCTTTGCATTGGGTTTTAACTTCCTACTAAATCTCAACAATCTTTATTGTCATCTAGATTCTGAATTAATTTCAGTCTGATTAAGAAGCATTGCTGGGGAGCTAGTGCGGTCACTTGACAGTGAGAACACACTGTGGCTCTTTGAGTTGCCCTAGTTCTCTTGTTGGTTCTTTCTCATCTGTGGGAGTTAATGTTTCTTTTAATCTTTGAAGTTGCAATTCTTGGATGGAGCTTTTTGCTTTCTTTGATGCCTTTAAGGGTTTGATTGTGATATAAATTGGGTATGTCAACTGGCTTCATTTCTGGCTGATTTCAGGAGACCCAGCCTCAGCTCAGCACTCCTGGGTTGTGTGCTGTAACCTGGTGATACTGGACCAGGCACACAGCTTTGTTCTCTGGTCCCTCAAGGTTAAATCCTGCTGTACTGAAGGAGCTGAGGTATTCCCAGTCTGTGAACAACATTCCATTGAGGATTGACAGCAAAACTACTTTGTTGGGGCAGTGGCAGTGGGGTCTCTGCTCATATGCCAGTGACAGCAGAGCAGCAGGGACCATGCATGTCTGCATGCTGGCAAAACAGTGGGGGGAGGCTGCAGGTGTGTGTGTGTGTGTGTGTGTAGGTTTGTCTTCCGAAGCTCCCAACAGTTGGGTGGGGTCTGCCAGCAAAGAAACTACGGTGGTGGCTTTCAGGAAGTGTCCCAATTGGGCATCCAAGGCTGTGCTGCAAGGGGGCACAGCCAGGTATGAACCTCAGGAAAGGCTGGCAGACAAGGGAGGCACTCAGACTAAAATGTCCCCATTCTATGGGCAAGACAGCTCTATTCTGTATTGGTCTGACAGTCAACAAAGGCCAAAGCTTACAGAAGCATGCATGGTCAACCTTCAGGGATGGGTGTCCTTGGCTGTGCTCTACTGCAGTCCTTCCTTTGCCAAATCCTTTGAACTCCACACATTCTGAAGTTCTGTCCCTGCCAACTCTTCAAACAGCTCTCCCTATCAGTTCAAATATCCATGGGGGTCATGGAGTCTCCCGCAGCTAGAATTATGGAGGTCCATGATGAGAGTGGGCAACTCCACACCTATTTAACTCTCCCTTCCCCAGGAGCTACTTGGGGCCAGGAATGAGTCCTAGGAACGTATTCTTAAGCCTAGCATTCCAAGCTTCCTCCAACTTCAGCACAGTCTACATCCACCCTCCATCCACTCTCAATGCCTCCCTTCTGAATATCTGCTTAGAGTGTGCCAATCTTCTTAATAGTCTGGTTTCTCAGTGGGAGAAGCTCTTTCTGGCTGCATCTGGTAGTCATCTTTGCTCTTCTCACCTATTTAAAATTCTTGAGCATGAAGAAAGTATAGCAAATATTTGACTGCAGAGGATCACAAAAATATGAAATTATACTATATTGACCAAAACTACTGGTCATTTCTTTGTTTACAATATTTACCCAACTGAGCACCACAGGGGCAAGGACTTTATTTTGCTTGCCATGAAATACCCAGGTACTGGCTAGTTCTCTTAGATTACCCATGCTAGGTGCTCCACAAATAGTAATTAAATGAATGAATACATGAATTGTCATTCTATAAGTAAACTTAGCACTGGAAAAAGCCTCACCAAGTAAATACATATGGCATAAATTGCTTTTTTGCATGGCAGAATACATATAATAAATGCATACCACATATGCTTGTTATGCTATTACTATTAGTTCTGTCTCTGTCATTATGATAGTTTTGACAATATCACCTCACTTTGTAAGTAGCTGCCATTCATTGTGAACTACTACTATCCTTATTAGTCCATGTTTACAAGAGAAGTTTTTCATGTTGAAGTTTATAATCTAGATGCAGTTCATAGAGAAGTAATAAAAAATGGAAGGTAGTGACTTTATGTCCTTCATACCTTATTGCTTTTCTGCTCCAAGCATTTTTGAAACAAGGTCAAGTATAGTTTGAAGAAGATGAGATAATCATGTGCTTTGTGGGATTTGCTAGAATATCATGCCCTGTATGCTAGGCCCACTTACCCTTACATAACCTTCTCTAGGGTCTGAAATTCATCATTACAAACATCAAACGTTATGATCTTTAATGAAAATATCTCTGAGAAGTAAAATATTAGACTGGGGTCTATGAGGGACTCTGACTGCTTTCTACCAAATAGATAAGGAGAAATTCCTTCGACAAAGAAAAAAAATTAATGGTGGGTGGGAATGTGAGAAGGCAAAAGAAACAATTTCAATGTTAAGAAATTAAGGCTGTCAAGAGATGTGGAAGACACTTAGGAAGAGTATCAGGTAGATCACAGATGTCTGGGTAAACATGTACCAAAGATGTAAAAAGGAAATGGACAAAGGCACTGATGATCTAAGTAGGAGGGAGAAAATAAAGTTTCACTGATTTAGAAATGGTGTGTGTGAAGCTGGCCATGATATATCCTGAAATATGCAAGAGTCTTATAGAACAAGAACTTGGTTTTGACAGGTTTAATTTTTTTTTTTTTTTAAACACAGCGTTTGGTCACCTGAGCCATATCAAGGCCATAAAACTCTAAGGAAATTTGACAACAGATAAGGAACTATTTTAATATAGAATTTTTATAAACAAAAAGGCTACCCAGGATAAGACAGATACATCAATCTATATTGATGATTGTTATAATAGATGCATCCACATCAGAAGTTAGAAAAACTAAGTGTTGGAATTAAAGGAAGGTATTCAAAGCTCAGTTCTGCAAGCTACTGAGTATTTGAACTTGGTCATATCCTCAAACTCTGCTTAGCCTTAATTTCTCCATGTATCCAACAGGAATAACTAATGTGTACTCATGTCCTGAAAGAGCTTACAAACTAAATATGACAGTTTTCTCTGGAGGAACCAGTAAGTGAGGCAGGTTTAGGACACAAAGTATGTCACAGACTGCTTCAGAGAGCTCCTGCTTAGGGTGACTGTGCACTTTCTCCCTCAAATACCTTCAGGTGGAAGGCCCTTCACAATGAGGCAAAAAGCTCATTCACCCTGTGCATAGTCAAATAAAAGAATGGAGACCTTACTTGAGATGTTTCAACTCTCCTCATAAACTAGTTCAAAAAAAAAATTGGCTAATGGGTCATTTTTAAAATATATAAACCCAAATAACTCTGCTAGGCTTCTGCAGTCTTTAAGTGGAGTATTATAAATATATTTTAGACAGGGGCAAAAATGAACTGCAGTAATATCAGTTCTCTAGTGAAACTCCTCCCCATACTCTAATAAATCCTTTCCCAAAACAAACCATGATTGTACAGTTGATTGTGATGGTTTCATTGGGGACCATTCATTTTTGCTGTCTTACACAGCTAAAATTTTTTGGATGGGTGATTTTCCGGTTTTATAAAAATGAACAGAGAACAATAGATTCTGCCTATTGAGCTGATTCTGCAAGTTACAAACCTCTCTGCATACAAAAGAGGGGCCAGCAGCTGTTTCCCTCTCTTGCTGGCAACATTAATTCACACCTTCAAGTACAAAAATGCACATTTGAAAATTATGTTTAAACATAAGATAGGCATGCAAGCATTGGTCTGACCCCATGAAATGACTCAAGGCCTGTGTTTATGTTCAATTCTTTAGAAGATGTAATAGTCTAACATTAGTGTTGGTATTAAAACTGTATTTCATCTCTTATAGACTCTGTTTCCTTTAGACATAAAATAGCAACAAAATTATATCCAATCCCCAAATTAATCCCTCCATTTGATTCCAGAAATCATTATTTGCTTCCCAAAAGACAAATGAAACTTACGCTTTGAGGACAACCAGAAAGCTGTATCCAATGCACATAATCCCCACTAGAAAATAGGAGAGCGGCAACCTGAAATTCATCCATCCAATCGTTCGTTTATTGTCATAATAGCCATAAAAGAGAACGGAATATTGCGCCAAACCCTGAAATCCAACAACAAAGCCACTTAGCAGAAGCTGTGAAGAGCAACTCGAAGGCAAAGATTAGCTCTTAAGAAGAATAACAAAATGACATTAATTTTCAAACCTGGGTCACAGCTCTAACATGAGCCCCATTGTTTTATACCATAAAGTGATTGTTTCAGCTGCCATGTTGATTGGCAGCTTTTTGGTTTATTTGAAATCCAGTGACTTCTAAATAGATAAAATTTTTCAGCAAATATGGGCTTGCTCAGCTGTGGAACCATTACCGCGAAATGCCCTTTGATTTAAACATCAAAACACACTTTGTGGTATCATTAGATTTACAATTTTAAGAGCTTGCTTAATATTGGGGGATGGGGATCTGACAAATGCTTCCTCAGAGTGCTGTGGCACATTTCCATTTCCAATCACCTGACCATAATTAGATCAGTTCTTCTTAAACCACAGAGGTTGTGTCTCAGCCCTCACTTCACAAAATAAAGGAGTGGGTGAGATGACACTGGAAGTCATCTGCACAAGCTTCCCTTTATCAAGACCATTATAGCATTCCCCTATAACAAGCATGTTTACCTGTGTATTACATTGGCATATCCTGATGCTGCTTACTTTACAATACACACCTTTTTTTCTTCTTCATGTCCACTGTTTTTCACTCTCAGCATTGAAGCATTCTTACTGCATCACTACAGCTATCCACTCCCAGCTCCTCAGTTACTTCTTCTCTCTGACAATAACTATGTTTTGTGAAATGAGAAGATACTAACTTGTCAATGTGGGGATTCCTCTGGAGATCAGGGGAGTCAACCCTGAATCTTAGAAAACCCAACTGGTTGACTTTAACACAATTTATGCCAACCCCAGGACTTTGACACCCACAACTGAAGAAGAGAAAAGAAGTGAGGGAGAGTGGAGGTGTGGAAAAGAAAGAAGAAATGTTGTGGATGCTAATTCCTAAAGGAAGAATTAAGAGAAAATTAGAAAACTGCCTTAAACAAAGATCATGCCTAACTCAAATCAGAAGTCAATGGAGATCTGAAAAAAACTACTGCTTTCAAAATTTGGGGCAAATTTATTTTTAAATACTGTACTCTGTAAGAACTAGAACAAAATAAAATCTCCAAATAATCTTAGAGGAGCTTGTGTGCTTAACTTGGGACTGCATGGAATGAATCATAGGCAAATACCAAAGTTCTGAGCTTTATCTGCATTTTTTAAAGAAAAAATAATCCAACTTGTGATGTTTAACTGTATGTGTCAACTTGAGTGGGCCATGGGGTGTCCAGATCAAACACTGATTCTAGGTGTGTCTGGGAGGGTGTCCTGGATAAGATGGGTAGTTTAATAGATGGACTCAGTAAAGTACATTGCCCTCCCTGACATGGTAGAACATCATTTAATCCACTGAGGACAAAAAGAGGAAGAAGAAAAGGAGGAAGGAGGGATTTGCTCCCTTTTCTCCTGCCTCACTTGCTGCTTGGGACATCTCATCTCATATCTTCTTCCCTCACAGTGGGATTCATACCATTGGCTCCCCTGGTTCTCAGCCCTTTGGATTCAGACTGAATTATAGCACTGGCTTCTCTGGGTCTCTGGCTTGCACATGGCAGATTAGAAGATTTCTCAGCCTCCATGATTGTGTGAGCCAATTCCTCAAAATGAATCTCTTCTTATATCTGTAATTAATCTATTATTTATATTAACTTATAAATTACATATATTGGCCAGATGCAGTGGCTCATGCCTGTAATCCAACACTTTGGGAGGCCGAGGCGGGAGGATCACTTGAGATCAGGAGTTCAGGACCAGCCAACATGGCAAAACCCTAGCTCTACCAAAAATACAAAAATTAGCCAGGTGTGGTTGTTCACTCCTGTAGCCCCAGCTACTTGGGAGGCTAAGGCAGGAGAATCCCAAGCTTGAACTCAGGAGATGGAGGTTGCAGTGAGCTGAGATCAAACCACTGCACTCTGGCCTGGGTGACAGAGTGAGACCCTGTCTCAAAAAAAAAAAAAAAAAAAAAAAAAAAAAAAAAAATTACATATCTATCAAGATTTATATAACAAATTTAAGTAATAATAAAAGTGATAAATATAAATTTATTATATAAATACTAGATTGTGTGTGTGTGTGTGTGTGTGTGTGTGTGTATGTGTATACATAATTTCTACTGGTTATATTTATCTGGAGAACTCTGACTAGGATGCAACCCAAAATATCTAGGGATAAGCAACTAGTAGAAACCTCAAGCAGAGGGAGCGGGTGAGCAAATCTCATGTCTAAGACAAGACATGGACTGACCAGTTCCCCAAGACCTAGAAAGCTTCATCCCAGGAGAATATGCTTGGCACGATTTTACATCTCCCAGTTGCATGACATCTTCTTGTTTCACATTCATCTAGTTAAGATCTCTGCTTCTTCTCATGTGTGTTAAATCCAATCTCCTTCTATCGTGTCTTAAACTTTCTTGTTGGTTCCTCTGTCCCAGGGTGACAATAATAGAAGGTGCTAAGTATAGACACTTGGTCTCTTGTCTGGTTTAAAGGTTATATTCTGAACTGTTTGTTTACCCCTGATGGGACAACACATCATTTTCCAAATATCTCTGTTGTTCACTGCCCTATTTCTTTGCCACAGGCCTGACACTCGGTGATAATGGTTTCCATGATATATAACATTACTGTATACATTTTGTTAACATTTAGCACTTGCCAAATACTTTATTTTATCTCACAGAATCCTCAGGAGAACACTATGAAGTTGGGTGATCATATCCCCCACTCTTAATGTTTTCTTAAATGTGAAGACTCATTAACGTAACACTCCCAGCCACCCTCACTCTAGCCTAGGGGAAAAGAGACTGATCTGACAGTAGAGCATGGATGGAGAAAAGTGGACATCTCTTCCTCCTCTTGAGAGGGCACATGCTGTGCTCTGCCCCTGCAAGGAGAGGCCTGTCCTGGCAGAGAGGTCTGGCTGTGAAGTTCCCTTGTCCATAAAGACACTACATTCTTTAATGTCAGCTTTAACAATAATAAAGGCGGCATGTTGACCTCCACCCTTTGTTATATTTCTGGTTAGTTCACAATCTTGTTGAACAAGGAAGGAATTATTATTTACCATAATTTTCCCCTCTCCTGTACACACAAAAATTCAATAGCTACTATCACAATACCTATTTTACAGATGAAGAAACTGAGCCTTAGAGAGGTTAAGTAATTTGTCCAAGTTCACATAACTAATGAGTGACAGTGTTTGAACTGGAACTGAGTCTAATTCAAATCCTACATGCTTAACCACTGTACTATACTGCTTCTCCCATGCTTTCTTTATCTAGCAAGAGTTATATCATGCTAGTGCCATACCTTCTCAGTGAAAGAATAAAACAAGAAATTCTATGAACCCAGCACAGACTTTGGTCTGTACCCCTAGACTGGTCCCTGGTGGTGCCAGAGCCTCTTGAAAAGAACCCCAGACATCCCTTTGAGAAGAATATTTCATAGGGGGTCACCTTTACCTGGTATCTTTCATCTAATTCATAATGATAATATTGGGATTAAAAGATGCACCAAAAATAACATAAAAGGAGAAAGTAGGTATATAACAAGCATCTGGTGAGCTTGTTAGGTTAGCACAACAGCTACTGGGGGCAGCCAGCTCATCTGGCATATGTACCATTCAACATATGTTCAATGGCTGGCATTTCATAAATATTAGATCACAGCCAAACCCCAAGAATGGTTCCGGTTTGGTTTTGTTTTATTTTTCTGGCTGGGGGCAGGCAGAGTCATGATTAGTTCACAAAGTTTCCTGCAGTTTTCCTATTTGATATATATGCAGTCAAGTCTATAAATGAATGAATATTATTAAACAGAACAGTTTTTATATTTTAATTAATTTTTAAAATTATTATTATACTTTAAGTTCTGGGATACATGTACAGAAGGTGCAGGTTTGATACACAGGTGGTATACATGTCCATGGTGGTTTGTTGTGCCCATCAACCCATCATCTACATTAGGTATTTCTCCTAATGCTATCCCTCCCTTAGCCCCTGCCCCCCCTGACAGGGATAGTATTCCATGGTGTATATGTGCCACATTTTCTTTATCCAGTCTGTCATTGATAGGCATTTGGGTTGGTTCCAAGTCTTTGCTATTGTGAATAGAAGAGCAGTTTTTAATCCAATCCAATCCATCTTTGTACCATATTGAGGGTGGGTTTAAATACAACTTGAGAGACTTCAAAGAACACTCCTCTTCTTCTACCCAGTGGCATGCCACACTCCACTCATCTTTCCCTGCCCCTTAAAACTATAGCAGCAGATAGTGACTAAAATAGCAATGACTCCTAGCCCAGCCAAGGCTCTATTCATTTTCCACGTCAGCTCGTGCTGCTTTCCCTGTGAGAGCACTCTCCCACCCCAAAATCGGTGACAGAGAAACCAGAGTCAGAGCCAAGTTTCCAATGAGCACAGAAAATTTCTGTCCAACTCTGGGGTTCCATGCTGGTGTATTGTCCATTAAGACTCTAATTTCTGTTTGAATGCTGCAGCTGGTCTAATCTATAATCACCAACACATTTCCACAAGAAAGAATGTTTTTATTATGATTACCAGGACTCGATTTACGCATTTACTTTTCTAACTAACATTTATTGAGAACTTACTATTTGCCTAATATACATAGATGGATCAGGAGACAGGATTATAGAGGTCCCCAAAAGGGTCTCCTTCATTAAAGTATTCGTTGCCTGAAATTATATTAGAACTCCATCCCTTTGGTGTTTCTCATAATTATAAATAAATGTTCACCATGAAAGACAACACTCGATGCCCAGGATGGTCAATGAACTTCATTCTTAGTAACTCTTTTTAATTTTTAATAGCTGCCAGAATGTATGAGGTGAAAGTGGTAGGAAAAGAAGATACAATTTTTGAAGCAAATCTGCTGGGGGTATGTGAGGGGAAGTGGCATCGCAATAGTGAAATCTGGGTGTATTTT